GCGGGTGCTCCCGGGCCAGCCTGTCCGCCCACCAGTTGTGGAAGCGGAACCACAGCAGGCCCAGCGCCTGCACGAAGGGGTCGCGGTTCCCGCGCTCGGCCCCGAAGGCTGCGGGACGGGACGGGATGCGACGCGGGGTCGGTGAGCGGAGGTGACAGGCCCGCGGGGTCGCCCGTACCTCCCAGTCCCTGCGCCTGTCCCCTCGCCGTCCCTGCTGCCCCCGACCGGCCTCGCCGGCGTCCCGCACCGTACAGCCCCTGGAGCCCGGCCTGGCCCGTGGCGGGGTCCGGCGCAGTCCACACGAGCAGAGCGTCCTGCGGGCCGCGCGGAAAGGCGGGGTCGCGCCCGGACGCCAGCCGCCCCCCGGAGAAGCTGCGGAGCGCGTCGCTCCATGCGTGCGCCGACCCGTAGATGGCGCTGCCGTCCAGCCAGCCGGTCACCTGGTTGGTCTGGGAACACGCCCGGGTCAGGCAGCGGGAATCCCCGGCTCGGCCCCGTCTGGCCCCACGCTGCCCGCCCTGCCCGGCCTCACCAGGTCTCGGGGGTTGCTGGGGCTCCGTCCGGTCTTGCGGTCCCAGCGGCTCCTCTGGAAGGGCAGCACGACGTCGCCGCGGCCCTCGGGGTCGAACACGGGGTCTCCGGGTGGGATGTGGATGTTGAGGAACTCGGCGGGGCAGCCGGGGGTGTCGATGCTCACCACGTCCGAGAGCACGTGGTAGCCTGGGGACCGGGGGACGGCGCTAGGCCACCCGAAGGCATCCTGCCCTGCCCTGTCAGAGCCCAGCCCGCCCTTAGTCCCCAGGCTCAAGAGTCATCCTGGCCAGAACCCTTCCTGCGCTAATCCCAGGACCCCCTGGGACAGGAGCGCCCCTGGAGGCGGCAGCCTGACAGTTTTCAACCCTGCTTCTACCCCACGCTGCCCCACCACCCATCTCCAACCCTGCCTAGCACTGGGAAGGGTGCAGCTGACCCCTGCCTCTCCCGGGGCCCCAGCACCAGACAGAGGGCCTCACCGAAGAAGACGCCCAAAACCGTGCGGTTCCGCAGGGAGGCCTGGCCAGCGGTGCCCCGCAGGGCGGTGTTGCTGAGCTCCCTGGGGTTGGGCAGGTGGGGTTCACCCAGGGGCTGGTATACCCCATCGGCGTAGTTGGCTGGGACCAGGCGCCGCAGGCGAGAGCCTGGCATAGGAGAGGTGAGGGGCAGAACAATGATGAATCATTAGGGAGCAAGGAAGGAATTTATTTTACTGGGTAGAGAACCCAGGACTTCCACACTCTGCACTACACCTCCATCCCTTTTCATTTTTTAAGTTTTGAGATAGTCACTAAACTGCTGAATTGCCTACACTGGGTTTGCATTTGCAATTCTCCTGCCTCAGCCTGCCAGAGTGCTAGGATTATAGGCCTGTGCCACCATGCCTGGTTCAGGTGCATCTTGCCTCATTTCTTCCATACTTCCTGCTATACTGTGGGTCCTAAAACTTTGGAAGTGTGGAGCTTCTGCTCCATCACCAGCCCTCCCCCTGCAGGGGCAGGTACCATCCTAACTCTGGGGCTCTGTCCCCATTCAGCTGTCACCTACCTTTGCTGCCCCAACTGTGCTCCTTGAGGTTGTTGTACCACCCATCATATCGCTGCACCTCCCACGAAATGGGGCTCAGGGCTCCTGGGTATGAAGAGGAAAGTTGGTGTGTGAGGAGCTTGTAGGGACTGCACCTGAGCCTTGTGCTTGGGGACCAAGTGGCACAGGGGGAGAAACAGGGAAGACTCACAGCCAGGACATAGTGCCTAGTGACAAATGGCCCCCAAGAGGAGGATGGTACCCAGAAGGCAGGGGAAAGGAATCTTGGGGGTACGGCAGCACAGAAACCATGCCCAACCCTACGATGCCACACACAGCAAGAGCCTGCCACACCCCGTACCTGGGTAGGACAAGTCATTCTGGGCAGGGCAGTGCGATTCAGACCTGGCCCTCCCTCTCCTGCTGCCCGGGGCAGGGGTGCGGTTCTGCTGTGCTGGTCCTTTTCCCAGTTTCCCGGGGTGGACCAGAGACTGGACTAGTCATGTGTATGGCCTGGCCCTCCCCCCCTCCCATGTTTTCCTATGACATTCTTGCTGTTGATTCTATTGTGTTCTGCAAAAGCTAGGGTTGAGGAAGGAGCACCTGAGCAGGGAGGGTGAGGGGGGACACTTTGGAAGGGAACAGAGGAGAAGGTCCAAAGTCAGGGAAGGTGGGGTTCATTCTGCTCAGGAGATCAGTTGACCAGCCTGATCGGTTGACCAGCCTGACCCAAACTAGATGTGTCCCTCTCCCTCCCCTCAGAGTGCAGAAGGAAAAGGACTCTTAGAAGAAGACCCATTCCCGATTGTCCTCAAAGGACCACCCCCCCACACCCCTGCATGCACACCCAGTTCCTGATGTTTGAATAAAGAACCTGGCCAAGGACCTAGGTCTTGGGACAGAACTAGGACAACCATGTACATGATCACTATGACAAGCTGGTTGAAGAACCTGGAGGGGACCTCTGGGGCAGTATACAGGGCGAGGACTGGTTAGAGAAAAGAGACCAGGGCTGGGAGCAAAGGAAACCCAAGGCCAGGGAAAGGAGAGGCCCAGGAGGAATGACTGTGTGTGATCAGGGAGGGCTATGGGGACAAGGTCACCGTCCTGTGATCACCCCCGGCCAGCTGGATCATTCTGCAGTGTTCTGCTGCTTCCTGTTTTTGTCTCTCATCACTAATGACCAAGGACTTCCTCTTTTTAACCTAATTTGTGGTACCTTAAACCCACTTCCCTCCTCAGTGGCCCAGGCTACAGACAGTGGCCTCTGAGTATAGGGAGAGATTGCCTGAAGACAGCAAGGTGAGACTCAGCGTCCAGTGGTTGGGGGCTAGATCACACTGTATGAAAACAAGGGTGATTCCCTCTCAACTTTGGGAATCTGATTAAGGCTAATCGGTCTTTTCCTGTGGTAAGCCAGGAAGCCTTTATGAAAAGGGAGAAGACAGGAGAGAGAAACATCCCCCCCAAAACTGGAAAGAATGAAATGGGAAATGTTGATGTAATCGTTCCTCCACTCAGGCTCCCTAACTCGGCGTCTTTGGCAATAACTTTCATTCCATGATCCATCCATGTATATCCAACATGAGCGTCATGGGCAGGGCTGTGACACAGCTGCTGTCCTTAGCGAAGCCCAGAGGATGCTGGTTTCCTGGTCTAGCCACACTTCCTCTCCAGCCTGTACTTACCCACAGGCATCCATGGCCCAACCAGGAGAGGCCACATTAGTGCCAGCGCCAGGTGGAAACCCATGAAGAGAAAGTAGCTAGCGGCTCAGGTGTTGGAATCCCGCAAACGAGACACCTAGGAAAGAGGACAGAAAATAGCCACCAGCCATTCAGGAGAATCAGGCTAAGGCCCCTGCGGGTCACTGTGAATCCAGGGTTGGGTGGGTCAAGACCAGAGTGAGCAGAGTAGCACATGGGATTCACTCCCTTCCAAGATCCACTGATTCCCTCCACAAATACTTGAAGGGTGCCCACTAGGTACTTGAGGCGCCAGGGCTGGATGAACAAACAGAAGAAAAGCTTGCTTCAGATCGGGTGGACAGCCTTGCTTTGACAGGGCTGCCTGGAGACGAGGCCATTAGGCAAGCCACTTAGCTGATGAGACCTGGACTGTTTACCTGCCAGCATGGTTTCCAGAATCACATGTGAGAATGAGGTTTAATTCAGGGGACAAAAGAAAAAGGATGGGTGTTGCGCACACGTGACAACCAGAAAGGAGGCTGGAGATCATCCTCTGCGCAGACTCCAGAGGGCTGCTGGCCAGATACTCATGTTTTAGGGCTGGCTTTGTGCACTCCCTCCCAACCCAGAAACTAATCCAGGAAAACAGAGGTGTCAGGCAGCTCAGGGAACTCCTGATCTCCACTCTGCAGGGCTTCAGGACAGTGGCCCCAGGAAGGGATGTCATCACTACTTCTCACCTCCTATTAAATACATGTTAAAAGCCTACATCCTGCTGGACTTGTACCTGGTCCGCCCTTCGCAGTCTTTTGGTTGCTGGCTTTGGACAATTTGCACACAGCTGAAGTGACCACAGTGATCCTTCCCCTCCCCCATTGTCATCCCTTCCACAATCCAGGCCCCAAACCCAAGTGTACCATTCCTGCACTACAGGCATGGAATGGGCCATCAGGATAGACTGGGGGACACTGCAGAGGAGATGGGATGACTTTAGTCGCCCTTTGGGGTTAAGTGCCCTTGTATCGATTTGCCAGGCAACAACGGGGAGCGTAACTTCCCCAAAACTTTGAAAGGAAGTCTCCACCCTGGGCAGGGCAGGAAGCCCCAGGTCTTGTCAGAGTAGCAGGTCTCCCCACGTGGCCCCCTTTTCCAGCCTAAAGTCCTAGATCCTGACCCAGAGCTGGGGGTCAGGGGAAGCCCAGCTAAAGCTATAGGGATTCCAACCTGTTCCGGGGTGGGCCCGGGGTACATCCTGCATCCCCAGTGCCAGAGTTCCTCCCTGGCATGCCTGCTTTCTGGGAGGAGATCCCCCTAGACTTAGGAGATGAGATCTCCCCCTTTACCATGATCGGCAGCCCTCAGTCTCCCCAAACTGTGGTGGAGCCCAGGACAGGCGCCAGCAGGCTCCATTTTAGCCATAGGATAAGGTTGGAAGCTCTCCCTCAAAACCTGGCCATGGTGGGGTTCTCTCCCTGGCTGCCTATGTTAAGGGCTCTCCCCACCAGCACCCAGCCCTCCAGGGTCTGACCTTGGTTGCCGCCTTTGTTCCCAGGTTGCAGACCGGCTCCTGAATGGGCTCCGGAGCCCAAACGTGTCGGGCCGGGCCGGGCCGCCTCTCTAGCTCGAGTGGTGCGGGTGGGGCTTGGGAGTGGAGTGAGGCGGGGCAGGCAGGGCTGGAGGCGGGACTGGGGAACAGGCTGGGTTGGAGGTTTGTGGCCACCCAGCTGGCAGAAGGGGCGCCCAGGGTCCGCTGCAGGTCCCTGCCGTGGAGGGAAGGGGCGCTAGAGGTGCGGCGGTGTGGGCTCCCGGGCCAGGGTGGGGTGTCCTTTACTGCCGAGGGTTTAGCTACTGCGGCCTCGTGGGCGGAGCGAAGGGCGAGTCCGCCTGGACAGGTCGGACAGGCGCGATCCTCTCCACCCCGTCGGGTCTGCTGGCCCGCGCTCTGCGACCAGGAGTCAGCCAGGCCAGGGGTCATAGCAGGGGCCGTCCGTGGGAGCCCCTCCTCTAGATTTCTTAGTGGAGTCTCAGGAGTTACCGCTCTGCGAGCTCCGCGGGTGGGACTGGACCTACGGGTTTGCATAGGGTTGGCCTGGGTGCTTGGCTCAGGGTAAGGGGGTCAGAGATCAGGGGTCTGAGGGTTGCGGGGCCACACAACAGCGCGGTCCGTGCGTCCCGAGCCACCCTGTCCGGGGCAGCGTGGGGCGCAGAGCACCCCAGACTCGGTTAGTCCGGCCCCAACCTGGTCCTCCGTGGAGTGGGGAGAGGAAAGAGCCGGGTGCTTGCGGGGTCTGACATCGCCATCCGGTCCCTCCGCCCTGCAGGATCGCGGCGTGGGAGCGAGGTGCCCAGGCAGAGGCCAGCACCGCGGCCGCCGCCGCAGACTCACGGTTTGAGAGACCAGAAGGTAGGGAACCGGGCCAGGGCTGGGCGAGGGCTGAGGCTGCTGACGGTCGGGTCGGTCGGGGTGATCAGCCTGAGTTAGCGGGAGGCCTCTGGCACTGTCCTCGCTGCGACCCTTAAGGGTGCACTCCTTGGGTCTGCCCGGCGCTGATTCACACTCCAGAGTTCTGAAAGGACAAGTTGGCTGAGAAATGAAGGCAAGGAGAAGCTCAGAGATCCCAAAAGTCACAGAGCTCCCAGCCCCTGATTCCTCAGCCCCTACTAAATGGATCTAGGTAACTTGGACCACAGCGCTCTCTGCTCCAAAGCTGCTGAGCACATCCTGTCCCAACATATTTTTAAATCTTGTTCTTTCTCCACTTAAGTGGTCTACCCAGCACACTCTATCAGGAAGCTAAATCCCCAGCGGTTTTTAGTTATTGAATAGTTTTAATTTGAGACAGAGTCTCAATAAATTGCCCAGGGAAGAAGGCCTCAGGTTTTCCACCCAACTGCCTCAGTCTCTCTCTGTGCTGGGATTTCAGGTGTGCTCCACTGTGCCTGGCCAGAGCTGTAAACTTTTATTATTTTTGTTTACTGAGACAGGGTCTTACTATGTAGTCCAGGCTGTGCTTGAACTCATTGTGTAGTCCAGACTGGCCTCAAATTCACAACTATCCTCCTGCCTCAACCTCCCAAATGCTAGGATTACAGACATGCTCCTAGGAACTGTAAACATTTGATAGGATCTACCCTAAACATTTGATAGGATGAGAGGAATAAATCGTCTCATTCCAGTAGCAGGCATCACCCAGAAGAGCCCCAGGTGACTGCAGGCCTGTCACTCGTGCCTTTTCCTAAGGATTTAGCAGTCCTGTATTATTCCCGGAAGAGGGATGAGTTAGGCAGGAAGTCCTCAGGAAAAAGGTGTGTCCCATGGGCTGCAGGGGAGGCCACCAGCCACCAATAGTACATGGCTCTCAGAGAGGCAGACCGGAGCTTGCACTAGGCTGAATTTTCTTCACACCATCTTAGACCACCTCAGATAAAGCAGGGAAAAGGAATCCCAAGCTGTGGGAGTAGGCCCATCCCAATGAGAAACCACCACAGTTGCATAGGAGGGCTTCCCTGGAGCAACACAGCTGGCTGAGCACAGTGGTCCGTGTCTCTGTTTCAGCTTTCGGCGCCTGTATCACCAGTGGTGGCGGTGTGCTGGGGCTCCAGTGAGTGGAGTGAACACCAGAGTTTTGTCAGATTAGAACCCACGGGGCTGGGGAGATGGCTCAGTAGCATAAGCACTTGCTTGGCAAATGCAAGGGCCTGAGTTCAATCCCCAGTTCCGCCAAAAAAAAAAAAAAAAAAAAAAATTAGAACCCATTCTGCTATCCGCCTTACTTGTTAAGCCAGGGAGGAAACTGGCTCCAGGGAGACAGGAGCTTTGTAAAAAAAAACAAAAATAGGAGGTCCCGGATGAGGGCAGTGCATCGCAGGCTGAGCTGCTCTCCAGGCAGAGACTAGTCACTTCATAATGAGCAGCACATTAGGAGTGAGGTTGTGAAAAGTTACCTTCAAAAAAAGAGGCAATGTAGATTAAGAAAATTCTAACCCATGAGAGCGAACCAGAGCAATTAGGGCAGAGTTTATTCACCAATTGGTTTTTTTTTTTTTTTTTTTTTTTTTGTTCTAGCCATCTTTAATAAATATTTTGGAGAGTGGAAATATGTTAGCCATGTCCTTCTGTATATAAGATACAGAAAATGTTTTGTTAGGATTTCTTTGAAGCATATTAATAGAGAAGCCAGTCTTGTAAAACATTGTTATAACCTCTCATGAAGATAAATGCAGGAATAATATTTTATGTGATCCTGACCCAAAAAAAACCTTATCAAATTATTATTTGTTTACATTTCAAATATTTGTTTTTGAAATTCTAACATATGATAAGGTTATTATTTATAAGCTTACTTCATCTGCCTATCTCATTAACCAAGGTATTCTACATTTTATAGCCCTTTCACCTAGAGCCTTTAAAAAAATATATAGTATTTTGGGTGTCATAAATAAAAATAAACTCTTAATCCAATAAACATCTGCTTTTAAGTAAATGTCATTATCACATATCTTTCAAAATTATGCACAAATTCTTAGTTACTTGTCTCCAGCTAGGGTTGAAATGTATGTTTCAGATTCGCTTAAACATGAACGTTCTTGCTTGTGTCTTAGCTAGTTTTGGATACTCCATCTATTGGAAGTGGCTGTGTAGAAATTTTTTTTGGAATCACTGGAAGTTGAGGTGACTAGTGGAATACTAAGGATCAGAATCTTGTTGGGGTCCCTCCGTTCATGTTGAAGGAGGTTATTATAGAAGGCAGAGCTCCCTCTTGCGACAGAAATCAGGAGCAGCCACTGGTGGAGAAAATTCATTCGTATTCATTTGACCCAGAGTCTGGATGCACCTACAGCTAGCCAGGGATGCAAAAAGCGGAGAGATGAAATGTTTGCCCTCCAGGAAATTAGAGTCTAACAATGCGGCAGTGTTCACCAATTAGGGTACAGCATAATTGCTGTGATCTTGTAGATACGCTCAAAACACAGTTAGAGCAGGGAACTTCTGCCCTGGACTGGAGGCGTCGGAGGAGAGCCACAGACAAAGCAAAACAAGCCGAGACCTGAAGTGAGAAGAGGCATTTGCCAAGGGGTGGGAGCATTCCAGGCAGAGGAGGTAACGTACACAGAGGCTTGAGGAAGGCCTGATGGGGCGCGTCAGCTCAGGGAGCGTCCAGCGTGGCTCAAGGTTAGGCCGTGAGTGGAGGCGGAGATGGAGGAACAGGAAAGGTCGCGAAGCACTTATAGTTGACCCTAAGAAGATTAGATCTTAGCCAGGGCAGACAAGGGAAGTGATTATATTTAGTTATGAGAAAACGTATGCTGGTGCCAGGCAAGAGAGGATGAGCCTGAGCCAGGGCATAGGAGGATGAGCCTGAGCCAGGGCAGAGGATGTTGGGAAGGAAATGTGTGAATAATTTCAAGAAATACTTAAGAGATGCTGGGCGTGGTGGTGCACACTTGTAATCCTGGCACTGAGAGGCTGAGGCAGGAGGATCCTTATGGGTTTGAGACCAGCCTGGTCTACAGAATGAGCTCAAGGCCAGCCCAAACTGCATAGCTAGACCTTGTCTCAAAGAGGAGAGAGAGAGAGAGAGAGAGAGAGAGAGAGAGAGAGAGAGAGAGAGAAAATTGTCCTTTTCACTCCAGTGCTTAAGAACAGCATCATCAGACTAAATTACAGAACTGTGATTGTTGATTCAGAGATGCTTTGTTGTTGTTGTTGTTTTTTTTTTAAATGATGTCTACAAACTTGAGGTGTGTCTTACCAACAATGGCCGTCATGGTTTAATTGCCAGTGCATTTTTCCCCCTTTTATTTTGTGGCACTCACAATAATAGGCGTGTCTCGTGACCAAGTTCTCTCTGAGATCTAACTAAACACAGTAAGTTCCAGTGACATTGAACAATATCTTATCTCCAAAGGGACAGACTAGAGTTGAAGCTCTGAATTTAGAAGGAGGACAGAGCAGTCCAAAGCGAGGGTTTGAGGTGAAATCAGGCCAGGATATTTGAGTAGAGATGGAGGAACAGAAGAACATGTGGCCCAGCCTCCAGCCTGGTGGAGGCTGGGTGACCCTGCAGTGATTATTCAAGTGAACTCAAGTTTGATCATTCTGGAGTCCCCAGAACAGGAGCTAAGGCATCTGAGAAAGCTGGACAGACCAATGTGGGCCGCGGCAGGCTGGGAATCTGTCCTTTGGAGATATAGCTGGACCCTGCAATTACCAGAGCTCTTTGGCCTTTGTTCCTTGGGGGGGTGAGGAAAAAGCCAATCTTTTTCTAATCTGTACCTTCCCCTACCCTCAGGCCTTCACTGGATAGTAAATCCAGCTCTTTTTATGTCCTGTGATCTATCTGCTTGCCCATGAGGCCTGAGGGAAAGAGAAGAGAGAGTTATATTTCTCAGGACAATCTGGGAAGAAATAGAGTCCTCGAGGGCATAGACAGCACTAATACAGAGGGCTGCAGGTCAGAAGGGCACTCAGGCAGCAGAGTCAGAGTCGGATTGACAGGACCCTAATTCGGTCAAGCCAGAGACAGAGGGATGGCTGAGGGTCCTGAGGGAGAATTCTGGAAAGCCATTAAAGGGAAAGCTCCAGAGATGAGGGCCTGCATCTCCAGCACCATCTCCAGCGCCTGATAGATACAGGACACTTGACCCACTCCGTGTCATTGTACAGCACCGGCTCCACGCACTGCCACCACCATGGCTGCTCTTGGACACACGTTCCCCTTCTATGCCGGCCCCAAGCCAACGTTCCCCATGGACACCACCTTGGTCGTCATCATCACCATTTTTCTGACTGCCTTAGTCACCTTTATCATCATCCTGCCTGGCATTCGGGGCAAGACGGTAAGAAACAAAGCCAGCCCTGAAGACCCCCTCCTGAGAGGGACCTCAGGCTGAGAGTGAGGGATCCAGACCCTGTCTATAAAGAGGTTCAGGGAAGAGACCCTGGCAGATGGCTCCCCTCTCCTGGATTGAGTCGACAGGTAATTGCTGAGCACCTGTTAGGCCCAGACACCCCATCACCACTGACCAAGTGGTCTTGGGGGGGGGGTACAATGCCTGCCCCTGCCCCAAGCATGGAAGAAGGGAGGTGGACCCGGATGGAGGGAGCTGCTGCCTAACCCCCACCCTGTGCCCCAGAGGCTCTTCTGGCTGCTGCGTGTGGTGACCAGCTTATTCATCGGGGCTGTGATCCTGGGTGAGTTCTGGCCTCTGCAATGGAGCAGCAGCTGCCTTTCTCCTCGTTTCCTGTGTGGTCCCCACTTCCTGGTGGCTCTCAGACCCTACTTGGAGAGTGCTGCTGCCTGGGGCCACTGCCTGGGGAAACGTGGGATGCATGTCCATGGCCCTCGGGACATTTTTATTTTGGGCCTAATGACTGCTGGCAGAAGGTCCCTGGGACAGGAGTGGGGCAAAGGAAGAGGGTTGCCTAGTTGGCTTTGGTGGTTGGGCACATCAGGGAGACTGAGTGTCCATGCTGAACGAAGCTGGGTCTGCCTGTCATGGGTTACTGTAGTTTCCTCCCCAGATGCCTAGTGATGGTCCCTAAGTGTGTATGTGGGGGCCGCAGGTATGAGCAAAGGAGATCTCAGAGTCTGACCCGTTTGTTCCCCCACATCCACGGTCAGCAGGCCTCCTAGGAGCCAGGCCATGGCTGCTTATGGACAGCAGTGATGGCTGGTCCAGGCATGCGACCTTGTAGCTCTTTGACTACCCTGGCAGCCCTTAGCCCTCCCTGAGTTCCCATGTGTTCAACTCCCCAACCCCAGCCGTGAATTTCAGCTCTAAGTGGTCAGTGGGCCAGGTCAGCGCCAACACCACCTACAAAGCCTTCAGCCCTGAGCGGATCAGCGCAGACGTGGGGCTGCAGATTGGGCTGGGAGGAGTCAACATCACGCTCACTGGTGAGGGGGCTCCAGCTTGGGTGGGAGAGGGCCCTGCTGTTTAGGGGATCCGTTTTGACAGGGTCCAAAAGGGTGCAGTGTGCCTAGCCCTGAGGTTAGAAGCATCTGTGGGTGTTGGGGTCTCCTTCAGTTTAGGTCAGGGTGGGTGGCCCCGCTCAGGCATATGCCTGCTGCGGCCCCTGAGTCCCTACCAAGTGCAGCCACCTGCTCCTGCAGGGACCCCAGTGCAGCAGCTGAATGAAACCATCAATTACAATGAGGAGTTCCTGTGGCACCTAAGCAAGGACTATGCCGAGGAGTACATGAGCGCCCTGCAGAGGGGGCTGCCAGACCCTGTCCTCTACCTGGCCGAGAAGCTCGGCCCGAACAGCCCATGTGGCCTGCATGACCAGTACCGCCTGGCAGGACACTATGCCTCTGCCATGCTATGGTGAGTGGGAAGGGGAAGGAATGGAGGGTCTGGAGGACGTGGCTGTCCCAGATGGCATGGGGTGCCTGGTTGGCAGCCCGTGGCTGGAATCCCCACCTCACGTCACCGGTTGGCTCCAACCCCCTGCCTGGACCCTTCCAGCCTGGCCCGCAGGTGGAGGGCAGCCGGTCCTCATGGCCTCACTTCACAGGGTCGCCTTCCTTTGCTGGCTGCTGGCCAACGTGATGCTGTCCATGCCCGTGCTGCTGTATGGTGGCCACATGCTTTTGGCCACAGGCATCTTCCAGCTACTGGCACTGTTCTTCTTTTCAATGGTCACATCGCTCACATCACATTGTTCCCTGCGCCTGGGGGCAGTGGAGCTGCATACCCAGCACGGGCCTGCCTTCTGGACTACACTGGCCACAGGTGAGCCTGCCCAGGACCTCTGTGCCGGAGGGCTGGGGCCGGAGAGGGAGGAGCCAGGGCCTGGGTGTGGGCAGACTAAGGCTTCCCTTTCAGGGTGAGGTGCGGGGCCAGAGCAACGCTGAGCCCACACCTGCTGCCCGAGCCCACACCTGCTGCCCGCGCCCACACCTGCTGCC